AATACATAATATACATTTCAAATCCAAAATCAATTCAATAAAAATTAAATTTAATCTAATTGTATTGGTTTAACTATTCATGTTAAATTAATCTTTATTTATGTTTAGAACAAATCTTTTGGTTTAGTTATTTATTTTGAGTTAATCTTTATTTATATTTAGATGATTTATATTTAATTTTATATTTAGAGAATTTTAATTATTGTATTTGAATTTTTATAATTTTATTTATTGTAATTTAATATTATTAATTATATGTAAAAATTTATATTTTAATATAAATTAATGAGGAACAGAAATCTCAGTTCCTCAGAAAAAACAGGAATAGGAGGTAAAATCTACTCTCATAAAAAATTCTCTCTCGTGGACCTGTTGTGTATAGCTGATCATATAAGGGTTTGCTACCTCCGACTGTAACTATTTTGTTAGCTTGTTATAATATCTTCCTATTACCAAAAAAAATATATATATTCTCTCACAAATAGGGACAAATAGTGACTCTTTAACCCGTGACATTTGTGGGACTCATTATCATCCATAATAATAACATATTATATTATAAATTTATAATATAATAATAATTAACCTTCGAGAAAAAGTATGATTAAAAATCACACACTAGACTCATATTGCATGAGACTTAATAATATTCTAAAAGGATGTAGAAAATCAATAATATAATGATTGATTGACTTTATATTAATATATATATATCAATTTAATTCTCAAAAAAATAAGTAAATTTTATATAAGATAGGCCAAAACCCCTATTTGCACCCTCCATTTATTTCTCTTTCACGGTCAACACCTTTCAGAATTTTTCCTTCCTATTCACACCTTTCACTTTTCAAAACCCGTGAAAACCTCAATATTTTAACGGACCGTCACGACACCGTTAAAAAATGCACTACGTGGCACCCAGAAATTGACGTTGCACATGCGGCGGTTTATTATTCGTTAGGTTCAGATATGGATCTACTTTTTGATGATGTGGCTTCTTTTCTGCACACGTGGACACCACGTGTGCAGTAGGGCCCACTGCACGAGATTTTTCCCGCTTGTCCCCACGTCCCCACCAAAAAAAAAGAAATTTTAGAACAGGAGCTCTAGGTTCTCAAACCCAAAGCTGGGTTCCTCCGATTTGGGTTCCTCGTCGTGAGGAACCCAGCTCTGGGTTCGGGAACCCATAGCTCCTGTTTTAAATTTTTTTATTTTTTTATTTAAATAAGCCATATCATCAAAAAAAGGCATCCACATTGGATTACTAACGGCACATAGTGGCCACGTCAATTTTTTAGTGCCACGTAGTACATTTTGTAATGGTACCATGACGGCGCGTTAAAATATTGGGTTTTTTACGGGTTTTGAAAAGTGGAAGGTGTAAATAGAGAGGAAAAATTCTGAAAGGTGTTGACTATGAAAAAAAATAAATGGAGGGTGCAAATAGGGACTTTGGCCTATAAGATATTAATTGATGTATTTGATTTAGTTTTTTATATTATCTATGACTAAATGTAACTCTTTATATAAATTGGATCTTTAGACTCAAGTGATTTGTTCCCGATCCTTAAGGAGTTTGAGTTAGTTAATCGGGATTTTGAGCCCCACCAATGCTTTGAAAAATCTCCTTCCCTCAATCTTCCAAATTATAAA